AAAAAAATCGTGGCGCTGCTAGCTTAATATTAAGCTGGCAGGACCAAAAGTTAAAATTAATGAAAATGAATAAATCAAAGTTGATACTTTAGTGCTGAATTTGTACTAATTTGTACCATCAAAAGAAATTTTGTACCTCTCACCGTTGTCATGGAAATCGGAGCGATGCGAGTTTAACGTTAAGCGTTACGCTCCGATTTCCTTAACAACAGTACTAGGTACAAAATTTCTTTTGATGGTACAAATTAGTACAAATTCAGCACTAAAGTATCAACTTTGATTTATTCATTTTCATTAATTTTAACTTTTGGTCCTGCCAGCTTAATATTAAGCTAGCAGCGCCACGATTTTTTTTAAAACGGCAGGAGGTACAAAATTTTTATTTGTCGTACAAATTAGTACAAAATAAGTACTAAATATTCCACTAGGTCCGATGTGATTCTGCTGATTTGGTCCTGCTAGCTTAAGAGAGGTGTTCTGTACAATTATATGAAAATTCAGTGGATAGAAATGATAGAAAACGTCGAAAGATATTTTGAACGAAGATCCATACGTAGATTGTGTACTCGACCAACTTGTCCCGTCAAGCATTGTGCACAATTATGCGTGAATTTGAACAAAATAAATAAACGAAGCCTGAGGTATGCCCGTGTACGCAATCGTGCCACCGAGTAGATGCGAATCGACGCGTGTGTTCGCGTCTGACCAGCGCTGCTAAAAAGCTCATGTCAATGCATATATTTACCTCTGACCCAAACACACAACTTTTCGTTAGATCCACGAATGTTTGTTTCACGTAACACGAAACATCGATACTAGAGTGATATTCTAATTGCGAGGAACTGCGAGGCTCGTTGCAAGAAGGAATTATTTGCATACGTAGAAAATAGCACGAGAAGCAAGCGCGTTGTTTCTTAATCATGTTTACGGTATGTACATGTCGTAGGCGTGATAGCTGGCGTGTGTATGTGAATAATTCGGTATGAATTCTGTAAACGCAAAGTAAAGTGCAACGTGTAAGCTGTTTGTTTTAAGATTGTATGAGTCGTAAGATCTCTGCCAAAAGTTTAAGACGTGTAATAAAAAACTGTGTGAAATATTTGAAGCAATGAACTTTTAGAAAAAGTTATAATTACAGAGGAGTAAGATTTATAAAATTGTTC